AGAAAAGCAGGAAGAGCTAGAGGGCAGAGTCAAGTGAGCCATCAGTTTAGAGTAGTTACATTGCCACAAATGGCCCAACCCCTCTGTCTGCTTTTCTGCTCTAAACCAGAGGTCCGTGAACTTGGCAACGTTTGAGACTTCCACTCTCAGAATTCCTCAGCCGGTCCACAAGTCTTAAAGTGTCCAGGTAAGCAGACCCCCGCCCCCCGCCCTTAACCGATGGCTTAAGGTGGCTAGATTAATGTCAGACGCAACGGATCAGAGCCATACGTGAAACTGCAGTTCAGAAGATGTATCACTCAAGCCTGCACACAAGAATTTAATCAACTAACGTTCAACATTACGTTGGTGCCAGGATCAACGAAATTCAAGGAGGGTTGGACTTGGGCCATTTGGAACAACGTAACGACTCTAAACTGATGACCTGCTTAACTCCCCACTCCAGCTGCTTTGCTCCTACACCATGAGCTGCAGAGCGTATGTCAGAAGTGCCTCTGGAGAACTCTGGAGGGTAGGGGCTATCCTTGCCTTGGGGTGATGATGAGGCGAAGCTGTTCCAGAGGAGAGGCATTTCAGGAGCCCTCCCATCACGCTTTTTGATAAATGGGGACCTTCAGCAGGCATTCTCTGCGACCACAGACTGAGCAGGGAGAAACTGTATAGGGTAAGTGGTCTTAAAGATACCCACAATTTCTCGGTAACTTAAATTTGATAAATAAATACGGTAATAGATAACTAACTAAAGTATGGCAGCTCTGCTGGTACTGCATGTTAAGCCGGATATTATTCTATGTGCATGGCCATGCTTTACGAGATATTGAACAATCAGAGACCACCATGAAAAGTTTCCGATGCAACAGATATTGAATATTATTTTATCTAGTCGTCAAAGAAACGCATAAATCTTAATTATAATTTTCAAGCATATGTGGCTAGCAATGTTGAGAAAACGGTTTCCTCTCAACATGGCATCTCTTCCCCGAGTAGGTTTTTTTATGTATTCACTTTGATAACTTTCTGACGCCTAACAAACAGCTTCTTATATTCTTTAGCCTGGATTCTAAAATTGCATTGAATATCACGGGAATAATTTTAATCCCAGAACACTTCTTCTACCTCTTGTGGTAATCCACAGTTCTTGTCGAGCTACATCTCGCAATCATCTGTTTCCAGATAGAAAAATAATCAAAATAGTTTGCTTCAAACCAAGAGATACAGTAGTGCGGAGGTCTCCAAACTTGGCAACTTTAAGACTTGTGGACTTCAACTCCCAGAATTCTCCAGCCAGCCAGCCAGAAAAATAATCAAAATAGTTTGCTTCAAACCAAGAGATACAGTAGTGCAGAGGTCTCCAAACTTGGCAACTTTAAGACTTGTGGACTTCAACTCCCAGAATTCTCCAGCCAGCTGTAGTGGATCAGCAAGGATTCAAAACCAGATCTAGCCCCTTCTTTGAATCATTTACACCAATGTGGTATAATAATGTAGGTATAATACAGGGGTCGGCAACCTTAAACACTCAAAGAGCCATTTCGACCTGTTTCCCACAGAAAAGAAAACACCAGGAGCCACAAAACCTTTCCCATGCTTGTCTATTTACTGAGCGGCCACAAAACTAGCATATGTAGTGGAATTAAATGTCCTGTTCTCTTCTGAAACTTTTCATTTCTTGGATTTAGCCATGATTGGCCTACCAAGGGTCGAAAAGCTCAATAAATCACATGCCAGGGGGTGTCACACATTGGCGGTTGTGATTTATATTTTGAGCGACAGAGCCACAGCAGAGGGATGAAAGAGCCACATGTGGCTCCAGAGCCGCGGGTTGCCGATCCCTGGTATAATACTTTGCTGAAAGGTAATGGCAGGAAGCCCAGTCCTGAACTGTGTGTAATTTCAACCCCTAATTCCTTTCTTGCAAATTGCTGGGAAAAACCTTCCACCATTCTTGATGCTCTCCAGACATTCATGACCAACGTCCATAATCCCAGGCCAGAAAACCGTGTCAAGAAGTCACAGATCATCATAGACCCCCAACAGGTCTTACATAAAACTTGACATCTTAGGTAGCAACAACAAAACCGCAAGTAGAGAAACGGTATCTCACCTTCTTGAGAAGAGACCAGAGGTGGCAGGTAATCGGGGATATACTCCTTCCTCTCTTCTGCGTCTTTGCTTCCGGGCTGAGGAAACTGCAGCACATTATTCTTACTCACAGGGAAGGAAGGGATCTGATGAGCAAAAGTCACGGGTTCGATATTGAGTATGTAATCTTCCAATTCGTGTAGGTTGACCCCCATGAGCTTAAAGGCTTCACCCACATCCTCCAAAATTGGGTCTGTCCGGCCATCTGGAACGCAAATGAACACGAATGACAATAAGAACCCCGCCTGCCAAACATTTTAAAAAGTTAACGTATCCAACCGGCCCTACAGAAGCGGCTCTGGGAAAAGCAGAACAAATAAGTTGGCCGTTCAAAACTTCATCTGAGATGACCGGAGAACGCAAACGTTTTTGTTTATTTTCCCCTTGCGCTTCCACGAGGCTGTGTTTACCTGAGGACCTATTATCAGGATTTGATTTTCCCTGCATGGCTCGCCTACTGAAATGACAACTAAATTGCAATTTGGCAAGTGCTCACCAGAGCAGAAAAGTAGGATAGAAAATAAATAGAATTTTCTCAGAAGGCGACTTGAAATAGTAATATCAGCAGAATTTCTACTCGGGCCTGTTTAAAAGTCACAACCTCAGGTGCCAAGAATCCCTAAAGCAAGTAAACATTCCTGGGTTCAAGCTGTCAGTAAATATATATACTAAACATATATAGTGTATGTATGTATGTATGTATGTATGTATATATATGTTTTCTTAAGTTTTCGCGGGTACTTACATGTATGGCATTCAGCTTTGTTCGGGTATTTTCCCACGTCATTGTAGTTGTGCTTTTAAAGTTGTAGCAACATTTTGGCAGAATCTCATCTGCCATCATATCATCCATCCATCCATCCATCCAAGCATCCACCCATACATGATGGAATGTTATCTGGATTCCCAGGATGGAGGGAGTGCATTCCACTACAACTTTATTCTGTTGACCTCCATACCTGAAACAATTACCGTGTTTTCCCCAAAATACGGCCTACCCTGAAAGTAAGTAGCTTGATTTTTACATGTGCACCCAATGTAAACCCTACCCCCCAAATAAGCCCTAATTAAGATACCGCCCATTTCAGAATGGACGGGTAAAAATTAAGCTAGGGTGGGGATGAGGGGGTGGAGCTGCCCTACTACTTACTTTTGCACAGTTGCAGGCAGGCCTCGCACACCCCGACACCTGCCTTCCCGGCCCATTTTTTTTCTGCGGCCGGCAAGGCATTCTGGAAGGCCTCTGCAGCCAATGACAGAGCTCTGGATCGATCCAGAGTTCTGTTACCGGCTGCAGAGGCCTTCAGGAAAGCCTTGCCGGCCGTAGAAGAAGTTCCTAAAGGCCTCTGACAGCAAAAAGGAGGCCGGGGGTGACGCTCACAAGTGAGGTGAGTCAGTGGATGATATCCACCCAAAATAAGACCTGGGTGTCTTTTTTGGTGGCAAAAAAAAAATAAAAAATAAGACAGGGTCTTATTTTGGGGGGAAATATGGGTAAATTCCCTTGTGATCTATCATTATAACCCTTCTAACTCCATATGGGTAACAGTAATAGCAATAGCACTTAGACTTATATACCAGTGGCCCCAAATCTTTTTTGTGCCACGGCCCGGTACCGGCATCACAAAATGATCTGCGGCCCGATACCGGCATCAGCATGCGTGACAAGGCAAGGCGAGCCGAGTGACCGGCCAGCCAGCCGTCCCCCGCTTCTCCCCACCACCTTCAACTCCTCCTTTGTACCTTTGTCGATGGGCTTCGCTTTGGGACGGCTTCGGGACAGTCGCTCGGCTCGCCTTGGGTTCTGAAAGAATCCTCGCACTTTAGTTCCGTTCGAAGCTGTCCCCGCACCTTGATGAAACCAAGGCGCGAGGATTCCTTCAGGACCCAAACGCCGCTTTCCAACCGGAAAAGCTCACCCGGAAGCACTTTCTCGTCAAACTAGACGGCGGCGCCCAGCAAACCGGCGGCTGGTAGGAAATGTTCCATGGACTGGGGACCCCTGTTATATACCACTTTATAGTGCTTTACATCCACCTCTAAGCGGTTTACCGAGTCCGCCTCTTGCCCCCAACAATTTTGGATCCTCATTTTACCGACCTTGGAAGGATGGAAGGCTGAGTCAACCTCGAGCCGGTGAGACTCCAACTGCCAAACTGCAGGCAGTTGGCAATCAGCAGAGGCAGCCTGCAGTACTGCATTCCAACCACCGCACCACTTATGATCCCACGATTTCTGTTGCTAAGTGATACATTTGTTAAGTGACTCTTGCCCCCTTTTACAACCTTTCTTGACAAAGTTTAGTCAATTCGTTGTACTTGTTAACATGGTAACACAATTGTTCAGTTAATCTGGAGTTCCCATTGACTTCACTAATAAGAGGGTCGCAAAAGGGGATCACATGACCCTGGGACACTGCAACCGTCATATATGTGAGTCAGTTGTCAAGCAGCCGAATGTAAATCACACCCCCATGGGGATGCTGCAATGGTCTTAAGTGTGAAAAGGGATCGCAAAGTCCTTTTTTTTCAGTGCCACGGAAACTTCAAATAGTCACTAAATACATGGTTGTAAGATGGAGACTACCTATAAGCAGGGGTGGGCTGCAGAGGGTTTGCAAGGGGTTGGGAGAGCCCCTAAGTAAGATTCTATGCAGTTTGGAGAATCCCAAATCCTGGCTCTCCCTGCCCACCCCACACGACCCCTCCCAGGAGTCCTCATGCTGCGTGCGGAGGCTCGGGGAGGGCGAAAAACAAGGCAAGAAAAACCAAAAGGACACATACAGACTGGGTGAAACCAGGCTCAACAGCAGTAACTGGGAGGGGGATCTTGGAGTCTTAGTGGACAACCAGCTAAACAGGAGCCAGCAGTGTGCAGCAGCAGCCAAAAAAGCCAATGCAATCCTAAGTTGCATGAACAGAGGGATACAATCAAGATCAAGTGAAGTAGTAATACCACTCTATAGAGCCTTAGTAAGACTACACCTAGAGTACTGCATCCAGTTTTGGTCACCACACTATAAAAAAGATGTGGAGACTCTAGAAAAAGTACAGAGAAGAGCAACCAGGATGATGAGGGGACTGGAGGCTAAAACATACAACGAACGGTTGCAGGAACTGGGTTTGGCTAGTCTAGTAAAGAGAAGGAACAGGAGAGACATGATAGCGGTCTTCCAATATTTGAGGGGCTGCCACAGGGAGGAGGAAGGGGTCAAGCTATTTTCTAAAGCGCCTGTAGGCCAGACAAGAAACAATGGATGGAAACTGAACAAGGAGAGATTCAACCTGGAAATAAGGAGAAACTTTCTGACAGTGAGAACAATCAACCGATGGAACAGAAGTTGCCCGCAGAGGTTATGGGAGCGTCATCACTTGAGACTTTCAAGAAGAGATTGGACTAACATTTGTCAAAAGTGGTGTAGGGAGCGGAGTTGGACTAGGTGACCTATAAGGTCCCTTCCAAGTCTGATTATCTGTTACCTGTTTTGGAAGGCTGGAAATGGGCCTGTTTCCGGCCTCCAGAGAGCCACTTTCACCCTTCTGGAGGCTCGAGGAAAGCCTCTGGAGCCTGGGGAAGGCAAAAACACGCCCGCCCCCCCCCCGCCCCAATGGTTCAAGAGGCCAACTAGGCCATGCCCATCATGGCCACGCCCACCCAGCAACCGGGCAAAGAACCCTTTGCTAAAAAATTTTGAAGCCCATCCTGGCCTATATGTGACATTGAATGCATATGGACTTAAATCCGTAGATTAACATATTAAAATGGTTTGTCAAATGCCTTTTTCAGAAATTTTTGATTTGCTTTACTTCCCAGTTTAGTGCTATAATCCTGGACTCCTCAGACAGCTCTTCATGCAAATCAACTCCACTGTTTCAGTCTGAGACCAAGATAAGATACAATAGTTATTTCCATAACAATACTAAGCTTAGGAGTGATAGAAATAACTTAAAAGACTAGGATTACCAATACAGCAGCGTACTATTAAAACACTACAATGTCTATAAAAAAATCTTAATCTTCATGCTATTGATTAAAAAGCAGGCTCTATGTAATTTATCTTTACATAAAGATATGTTTTTTGAAAAACAGATCTCCAGTTTGTCCATGCCTGGTGTCCTTGACTGTCTACAGAACCTAATTGTTGTCAGGCAGAATTTTGCAATATTTTAGATAAGAATTGTTCCTTATCCGAAAGAAGAAAATCAGTGGTAGTAGTCAAGTCCTACACTTAGGCAAGAAAAACCAAAAGTACACATATAGACTGGGTGAAACCAGGCTCAATAGCAGTAATTAAGAGAGGGATCTTGGAGTCTTAGTGGATAACCAGCTAAATATGAGCCACCAATGTGCAGCAGCAGCCAAAAAAAGCCAATGCAATCCTAAATTGTATTAACAGACGGATACAATTATGATCAAGTGAGGTACTAATACCACTCTAGAAAGCCTTAGTAAGACCACACCTAGAGTACTTCATTCAGTTTGGTCAACAGACTATAAAAAAGATGTTGAGACTCTAGATAAAGTACAGAGAAGAGCAACCAGGATGATTAGGGGTCTGGAGGCTAAAATATATGATGAAGGGTTGCAGGAACTGGGCTTGGCTAGTCTAGTGAAGAGAAGGACCAGACGAGACATGATAGCTGTCTTCCAATATTTGAGGGGCTGCCACAGAGAGGAGGAAGGGGTCAAGTTATTTTCCAAAGCACCTGAAGGCCAGACAAGGAATAATGGATGGAAACTGAACAAGGAGAGATTCAACCTGGAAATAAGGAGAAACTTTCTGACAGTGAGAACAATCAACCAATGGAACAAAAGTTGCCTTCAGAAGTTGTGGGAGTGCCATCACTTAAGACCTTCAAAAAGAGAACTCAGAGAAACGTAGAAAATCGATAGCAGAAAAAGCCATCGTCCATCAAGTCTACCCTTTGACATTTTATATTTTAATGTAAATTTAATGTAATTTTTTCCATGTAACTCAGAAGGTAAGAGATGTATGTTCAACCTTGGCAACTTTAAGACTTGTGGACTTTCAACTCCCAGAATTCTCCAGCCAGCCATTGTGTAATTAATATGATTCCGTCACTTTCTGGAAAATTCGCCC